TATTCCTTGTAGTTTAATTCATTTCCCATGTCAAAAAGATTATTGAACATTTGGTTTACCGACCGTGACGTCATTATACTGCCCACTTACACACAGTCAGTATTCTAAAAATAAATATTAGCAATAATTACTTAAAAGATTTTTTTTTTATTTTCAAAATTCAACAGACGAGGCAATGAAACGTGAAAAGTTTTTCAGCATGTCAACACGCCAATGACGTCATAAATTTTTACTTGTATGCAAATTAGTACTAATGAGGAACCTCACTGTGTAATCCAATAAATGACAGCAACTTTGAAACTCACTTAAAATGTAACCCAATATAGGACAAACAATCTATCTGATGGTTCTAACCAATCGTTTGTCGTATTTTCTACGCATATAACGTCATCGCTAGCTAGCATTACGTAATTAAATATCTGCAGACGACATGCAAATTCATGCTCTTTTTCAAACTAATGCTTTAACCACGCTCCATTGAAAACTAGAGTAAACTCGTGTCTGATATGCCCATAGATACATGTTTTTTGCTGGCACGCTTACTGTAGTGTCCAGGGTTCTCTTTTTAGTTGAGTATTATCAACGAAGTAAATATGACGTCACACAAAACACAACACTCTATACATTTTCATGCCATAGTAACCTGACTGATTAATGAAAGCATATAGTACACTAGAAATCGTGGCTGGTAATCTCAAAATAGACAATATCTCATTTTATTTTATGCCGGATGGTTTGTTAAGAATATGGATAACATTAATATTACCAATTTGCATATTGATGGTTATAAAATTACGCATAATCGTATAAAGTCAAAATAGGTGTTTCTTATGCAAATGAGACATAACACTCCCATAATGCTCGGAGCAAATGAAAATGATTACACTCGTTTAATACATATGATTTGTTATACAGGTTTTCTTGGTGAATTTGAAAATGCATATTGTGATAAAGTTATTGTCACCAAAATACATGGTACGTTAGGAAAAGTGAACAAGTTTTCATCGGTAATTTTATTGCTAAGAAATTTACGAGACGCCTGTTTAGCTGAACTTAATCGACACTTTACTGGAAATGATCACACGGGTTTTGCTAAAAAAAGTGAGTAATCATTAAATTGAATATGTTTCATTCAAAAAACTAGTATACTAAATAAATCGATATCACATATTCACAAAATTTGGTTGAATTTGTCTAGTTATTCAGAACTATCGATTTGTGAGTTGTAGATTTCGAAATTAGCCCACATATTTCACTTAGACGAAACTGCTCAAGGTGCAAGATACAAAACTAGAAAATGAACTCTCAAAAGTGTGTCACACACGACCGCACACACGTCTTACCTTACTCTCGTTGTAACGACACACATTGGATTAACTTTTAATATAGTTGCGATATGAACTCGATTAAAATGCGTTCCTATTACGCTTTAATTGGTGTTTAACTAAATAAACGTTGAATATTTTGTGACTTTACATAGAAATTTTTGCGAAGCTTGGGTTTAGTAAAGGGAGTGGTATGGTACAATTATATTAATATTGTAAATTGTAGTACCATACCGTCTTTCTTACTAAACCTAAGCTATGCAAACTTGACTTAAATTCGATTAAATACTAATATAAATTATGAAAATAGTGAGGGTCGTCACTTGGTAGGTGTAAAATTAAATGAAAGTCATAACGTAAATACCACACACGCAGGCAAGCATCTTAATTAGCAGGTTTGTGATTGACACTAAAATACAGTAATATATTACTATCTAATGGCAATCGTGTTTCTATGCAGAGATAGAAGACCATGACGTGAAAGAAGTATTGGATGGGGTTTCAAACGTAGCTATAAATTGGTTAAAGTCATACAATGGACCAATGCTGGTAGTACACTATGAGGATTTATTAAAGGATACTACAGGCGAAGTTACCCGGATGTTGGATTTTCTAAACGTCACGGAATCAGACCGCCGAATGGAATGCCTCAAGAAAAACGTTGAAGGGTCATTTCATAGAAATGGTAACAAAAGCGCGGATCATTATAAAATATTTGATAACTTCCACGAAACTATTAACACTAAGACACAAATGATATCGGCAATGTTAATGAAGAGAGGTTTTAAGCCAATGGGTCCAATTAATTAATTAATTGTTTATAGTGTTTGAGTAACCCAAACCTAGCCAATAAGTCTATTTGATCATAATCACTTAGACGAATATAACAGTGTTATAATTTATAATAAAAATACAGTATAATGCATGTTATTCGGCATTTAGACATATCTATTCTCTCTAAATCCAGTTATCAACATTATTTAACATTGCAATACAAATAAAGTAAAGAAATAAAATTATACGATTCAACGAGTATGCAATAATTATTTCAGGCCAATCGTTACTGAAGTCATCAAAAGCATCTATGTATTTACTGATGGGCCATTCTCGTTATTAGTAATTTTCAATTTATAAACTGTGTTAATAGTTGAATTGCGTATAGCTATTGAGGGCGTACACGGCCAAAGATCGAAGATCTGATTTATACCAAATTCACCGGTTTCTATGAAGTTATTTGAAGCCCAATTATTGTTTTAAAAAGCGGGGTCGCTGGGAAAGGAAACAGGAAGGTTTTTTTTTAGGTAGCGTTTCTCGTAAACACAACAGTTTTTGTATACAACAAGATAGAACAACATCTCGAATCAAAGCAATGTTCATTTATCCGTGTTATAAACCAACATACAGCGACATGCACATAACATATTGAAATACCCTATATATTGACGGACTAAAGTTGGTTATCGCTAATCGGTTAATTTAAAATGTGTTGTGATCGGCAGATATATGCAAGTTTGTTTAGAGGATTGGCTAAAATTAACTGTGATTGGTCAATGTATCAAGCTCGACAAACCTTCACGCCTATTTTCAGGTTTATTTCGATAACGTAATATAGTTTCAGGACTATTTATATTGGAGTCACATTGTATCACTCACAGTTCCCCATTCATGGATCATTACAGACAACTTTCACGATCATTATTATGGGAATAAGATTGATGTGTTGACAATTCAATGACTTATTCCGACATCACTACTGACCTTGTAACAACAATAGCAGCTTTATCAATTTGTATCTTACCACTACTTATTAAACTGTACAACGCCACGCATAGATGCGTTGCCATGCCGACCGAAGCCACGTCCATAATCATTAAACTAAGGTTCTGACATATTTTATGACGCTGAGAATGTTATATTGAATCAATGATGTTACTGACACGAGACAGCGATGATGCACACCTCCATTTTATTCAATTTATGATTTATGCAAGCAATATGCGGCAAAAAGAGGTCGGGGGAAGACGTAGGCGAAGAGGGGTCTAGAGTGACAGCAAATAAACGGGAAAAGCCAGGATTAGCAGGAGAGTGAGGGTGAGAGAGGTCGTACATGGAGAAAGATGGCATGGGTCAGACGAAATATTCAGAGGGAACGTAAGCGAGAGCGGGAAGTCAGTAAATGCTGTAACGGGGGGGGGGATGTTTGGAGGACGTAAGCGGTCAGGAGAGACTGAAAGGAGCCGTGAGAGAGAAGAAGAGAGCTGTAATGATCTAGTTTACATATGAACAGCATTTCCACCTGAACGAATTGTATGCATAAATTAAGAGCCTATATAAGTGAATAATAATAAACTAATTGATATTCATCCGATTGTGTGTACGTGCGTTTCCTTGTATGCTTTGCCACCATATGCCCACTCAACTAAAATAGTACAAGACGGTAGACGCCATATGTGAGGGCTGGGCCAGGAAGAGAAGTACGCGGGATGGAACTCTAAGCGAGGCAGAGATACCGAGTTGAACTGTAAACGAGGTCTAGGGGGATGTAAGCGAGATAGAGAGGCTGTGAAGGTGTGTAATTGAGGAGGTCGGGAGAGGAATCTAGTGAGACCGTAAGTGAGTGTGGTTGTAGGCGAATAAAGCAAGGCTAGAAGACCGCAAGCGAGAGGGAAAAGCCGGGATTGTGTTGTAAGCAACAGAGGGATTTTGGAAATTGCCCTATGCAAGGCGAGAAGGTCGGGGTGGGCGGTAAATTATTTGAACCAATATATATATATATATATATATATTATAAAAACTTAATTAATATTAAAATATTAAAAAATTTATATATTTTTTGCATTATTACATGTAACTGTATTGTAGTAGATTTTAGATATCTAACTTGTTATGTTTATTTTAACACCTTTATTACATTCTATAAAACAAAATATCTTATCTTATATAGATTGTAGTTCAGGCTAAATAGTCATTATAGCCATCATTTCGAGAAACGTTTGCTGAATTTAAATAATCACCAACTACAACTTTTGGTAAAGGAAAATAGTCAGTTGGGTCATTTTGTATGTATTGTTATCAGTCTCAGATTCTATTGTGGGAATTGTTATTTTGATTCTGTAGACCTTGTGTGTGTACTGTGTATGAGGAGTATATGGTGTGAGACCAGCATACATACCCACACATTAGACAACAGTAGACATACTGTAGTAGACACGCAAAAACACGTGGTCGAAATCACAATCGTCTGAGCAAAAATGTGATACGTTGACAATTCGGAATTATTTATTTGTATGTATATATATTTCACCATTATACATTGTATTATACATGAACAGCCTGGTTCTGTGTGATGAGTGCTCTAAATGTCACATTAACCAAACCGGGGCTCTGTTACTATAGAAACCGGACACCACTGTGCACAGTTGCTTGCATATATCACGTGATTGCTACATTAAAATTAAATAATTTTTCAGAAACATGAAACGCACAATACGGTGTATTATTTGCACTGCAGTGTTAATTACTGTCACGTTGTGTATATACATGACACCTAAACTATGGGATATGAGCTTCCTGGTGACAAAGACAACATCCAACGCAGAACTCATTTCAAGACCACACACATCACGGAAACGTATATTCAAGATGTTAAACTCAGCCAATACGTCATTAACATATTATCCAATGATAACATCAGGTAAGATACACCTCAAATTAATAATGGGTATTGCTGGGTGTCACGTAATGATCTGGTCTTGTCTCGTAAGTTGAACGAATCATTGCAATAGGCGACAGCGGTCTGAAACTGTGGCATGATCACGCAACGGATATTCAAGGGTTAGATATACTGTGTCTTTTTTTGATGTACGGGTTATGAAAGTAGCAAATAAGGTGACTTGGACAACATGTATACATCAAGTGTGTCCCATATGAATAACAGGTGACTTTCATTCGATACATATATCCTTATAATACAATTAGATAATCAGAATTTAACCTGGAGTATTTAAAAACGATGTTCGTGTTCTGTATTGAATTCATTCGCCATTCTAAGCCGCGCTCACATGCCACATAAATCCATATTGCTATTGTTTCACACGTTTTAGGGGACTGGTTCAGAGAGTGGGAAGTAGTAAATCCGGGGTTGACCAGTCGATTATCATGTAATATTACAATAATATGAACAATACAGTTTAATATACAAGCACATATCAATATTCAATATTCATTCGATGGCAATTATTCTGGAATTGTACCAACAATTTATTATGGGATTATTTCACGCAATATATATTAAATATTACATTCCACGTGTCAGTTTGTATCTCGTCATAGGAATGGTAGACACACTGCGATGTACAATAGTCGAGTGGTAGGCACCAGCATTTTTCATTACACCCAATTACACACTAGCACAACATATATCATTTTGAAGCACATTGTTTAGCTTTCAGAAAAGATATGCTGTGCAATTTAGAGAAAAAAATGCGGTTATATATATTATAATATTATTTACATTTTGTTGTTGATATGTTATTACTAATTATTTTCAAATATGTAGTTACCAATTGTACTTATATTATTACATACATGCACCTGGAACGACATTGGTTATACATTAAGATGGTTTCACATAAATACAGATTTATATCAATAAATATATCATATAAATATATTAAACGTAATTTGTTTTTTTAAGTGGTATCATTTTCATTTCTAATTTTAATTGTTCAATACATTTATGGGAACACTTTATATTTAACTTGAATGAACAAGATAATGATTATAAACACAGAAGCGTGTAAATCCACTTGATGATTGAATAATCCTGCAATAATAACTGATATTAAATTAATCTCATTACCAAGCAAATCATTGTATAATGATTAATTATTCCGGCTTTGATTAAACGAAGTTTTGCACTACTGGTACAGTATACACCGGAGAAACCAGCACCAGCAGTCGTATTTTTTATCATGATTTATATTTCGGCTTAATAGTGGTTGCCATGACATCTACTGATAAAGGTTAAATGATGAGGCCAGATGACGGAACTAGTCGAGACCAGACGACACATTCTCATGAGTTAGCGATTTCAAGCTTATGCGGTACCTTGGTCGTAGTCCAGAACGAATGATGTATATTAATGTCAACTGTGGAATGTTATTGCAAGACCATTAGTACCCGTAAATATAAACTAATATAGTGATGATTAATCAATTGTATTATGACGTGTGACACTTTCGTGTGATTGGCTGTTTGTTTGGAGGCAACGCCTCAAAGTCTCTTATACTCTATTGTAATTGGCTAATGGTTGACAAGTAATAAAAGTGATTTGAAGCTGTCTCGGGAAGAAAGCAAAGGCTGGGGATAATCGAATGCGACACGAATTGAGCTTGTGCGTGTGTTTTTTGTGAGTCCAACGTGGGGAACAATCAAATCCCGGTTACCTAAGTTAGGTTTCGAAACATCAAAAATACCTTGATTTTCTCAAGTCCATTTAAACTCAAAGTTCCCGATAAACGTAATAAATGCATCATTTGCCAGACTCTGTGAAGCACGCAAAGCTGGTAAATGTGCTTTATTTAAGACATCGGAAGAATGATTTGATGATGATGTGGAAGGAACAATTGCAAGCTTCTGTGAGTCGGTTATCGATCAATCAGAGAAGACATTATTTTACCATAAAAGCTGTTATGCAAGCTAGAGGAATGAAGCAAATGCTGTCTATTTCAAAGCAAATGCTGTCTATTTCAAAGTAAGCATGTAAAGTCAGTATATATCTGCAAATTGATCCTCTTAGTTCACACAAAACAAATAAAATAGCATCCAATAAAAATATAAAAGTTTAAACAAAGGACAGATAATTCAACCTAAGAAAAGCTGCGAAAGCAAGGCGTGATGTTAGTTTGCATTCGAAGATGGTCCTTATCTTGTTGTCTGAGATGTAGTGTGACACAGCAAATGTCATGGACACCGATTTACCTTCTGAGAATGGTAGAAATACCTGATAGCACCAAGAGCATCAAGACTTTATTTGACAGTTTTCAGTAGGTATTTGGTCAGACCTGAGCACAATAATTTATGATGCTAAAGAGACAGTCGAATAATTGGACTCACCAGAAAGAATGAAGGAACGTAGTGAACTAAAATAAATCACATATCTGACTGCATGACAAAACTATTCGAGGTAGATTATGAGAATATCCTCATTAAAATAATCACAGGATTGCATGCAAGTTCGGATGTAAAATCATTCTAACTAGATATTAATGGCAAACGGGAAAGTGATGTGAATTTATCCAATCATCAATCTCATCAACATCCGAGAAAATGAGAAAGAATGATTTAGAAATGTAAAATTGACTTTCACAACTGCCTGCTTGTGACACTGTGTATATAAGAGACACAATGGCAATTATCCAGTCAATGAAAGGTAATCATTTCAAAACATTTGACGATCCGACTGGTGTACCTCCATACAATGATACAACGTTTCTCAGTAGCAAACACTGCTGTTAAGACAGACGAGAGTTAAACAATGATGACGTGATAGACAACAAGACATTGGACCAGAGGGAAAGCAGTAACAAGTCATTGGTGCACGAGCAGTGGCATCATTGAGAAAGTTTCTAAACAGTCAGAGTGAGAAAGCAGCACTTTCAGACCTATTATTTCAGTATGTAAAAATATTAAAATAAATAAATCATCTTCATCAGAATCCGCGACACACCATATATCTGGTTGTACTGATGACAATGTAACAAAATGATTTAATGCAGAAGGCACTCAAGATGCGTTTTACCTTTGTTTCCAGTCACGGAACTGCTGCATACTAAGCTTGCTGAATCAGTTTTCCAAAAAATAAATTGAATGGAAAATATTATAGTGCATACATCCAATACAGATGTAATTATTCTACTGGTACATTATTTAATTGAGATGAAGAGCACCACTACTATATCTGATAAACGCCGCTATCTTCCTATCCGTGATGTTTCAGCAGCCATTGGTGACACATTCTGCATGATGCCTCCAGCGGCTCACTGTTTAACTAAATGTATCGTTTTTTGGAAGTGGTAGGAAGAAAGTCTTTAAATTGATTGAAGACAAAATATCTGATTGCCATTCAGATTTAGATCACATTGGTAAAGACAATAATGTTGCAGAAAAAATGATGATCCGTTTGTATCATACAAATCTTTTTGGGATCCAAAACCTTAGTAAAATGAGAGAAAGAGTGTTCCAAATGAAAGAAAAATCACTCAGCAAACTACTGCCAATAAAACCTAGCCTTGAAAAGCATATTGTATGAGCATCATGGCAAACCAAAGTGTAGACCAACAAAGAGACTCGTTGCATTTAACCCATATGTTTTCACAGGCTCCGTGTACTTGTACACAAAGTTGGCCAGTATGTACAAAACTGTGTCCATGGTAGTGATATATGTGGATGATGGGGTCTCAGATGACGACGTTACAAATGCGTGAGATAATTACATATATAATCAAATCATATTAAGACGAGCATGACGTCATTATTGTTTAATGTTCGATTTATATAAAATCACATCAAATCAAACGATTTACAGCATCTTGTGAGTAGAAAGATGTTTTACCGACATTTAAATTAAAATGAAAAGTGACATGGGGTTAGTTTCTAAAAAACTGCACCATATTTCAAAACCACAACAGGAATTTTCTCAAAGCTGATAAAATTTGCTTTAAAAATGTGTGTATTAAACTCGAAAAACAGTGGCTTATTTTGATATCACCGGTTATTAAAATGTTTGTTTTCATATATATTCGGATACAACCTTTACTTTATAGCGCTACCTAACGACAGTTATTTAATTAGTGAGGAAAACTGTTTTCATTTTTCTGTATTTGAAAATACAAACTTCTTGTGTAATTTTTCTTTCACAATTGAAATGTGTGAATATACTGTCCAGTTAGAATCTGACATCACACATTCCATATATATATATATATCATATTATATATATATATACTTTATTGTATAAATGTGTTCCGGACTTATAACAAAATGGCAATATACAAATGTATGGCACGAATTATAGTTGTACCCAATTCATTCATTCACGTGTGAATATTTCAATTACGCACAACCTATTTGTTTTCACTCCACAGATAATACTACCTGTCCGGTTAAGTTCTCCCAGAAGACACTCCCCACTGTTGCCTTGGCCGGCCCACCAAATGCAGGCAATATGTGGGTTCGCCATCTTTTACAACAAGCGACTGGCATTTATACTGGATCAGTATTTCATGACCAACAGCTATATAATTTAGGTAGTGTAACCAAATTACGTATTCACTCAAAATTTAAAGATTGAAAACATATAAATTAGTATTTTGTTTTATTATATAGGTTTCCTTGGTGAATATGAAAAACCAGATTGTGGTAAAATCATTGCAACCGCAATTCATTCACCAGTATCTGATGTGAACGCCATGTTCACATCCGCAATTATTTTACTGCGAAACCTGTTTGATTTGTGTTTGGAAGAAGTCCATCAGAGATTGAAAACACCAGGGAATGACACAGATGAGAATCACGTGGTCCGTAAGTGATATATAGAATATAAACAACATTTAGTCATGAGTGATCACGTTGGTAATAAGATATATAGTGCCTTGTAGATTAGTCCAATTGCCGCACTAAGATTTATATACCTTTGAAAACATGAAGTTTAGCTGTATAATTTAAACGTGTACACTTGTGAGATTCACAAATTTATACACATAGAAATAATTCCATTGCACATTTTATTATAGACATCGGCAAAACATTTATCAAGAACCGAATTCGCCAATTATACCACTGGTCGTGTTTTTGGCTGAAAGGATACCATGGACCAATATTGATTGTGCACTATGAAGATTTGGTTAACGACACTAAAGGCGAAGTTACCCGAATGCTGGATTTTCTGAATGTTAGCATGGCAGACCGACGGATGGATTGTATCTACACTAACACTGAAAACTCTAGACAACGCGTTCAGAACAATAGTGATGACTATGAAATATTCTATGGGTTAAAAGAGTACATTACTGACAAGACACAGTTCCTATGTGACTTGTTGACTGAAAAAGGGTTTAAACCAATGATTCCGGTTAGTCTCCCTTTTAACTGAAATCACGTGTGAAACGTGGAGATATTTTGACAAGAAAATAACGTATCATATATGTATATATATATATATATTTGTCTAGTTTGTGACAACCAGGAAATTGAAAACGAAAAACATGTTCTTCATAATTGTAATCCATACAAGGAGGAACGAGAAATCGTGATTAAAAATATTAAAAACAATAAAAACAACTTTGTCACCATTTTGCCCAGTTCTAGGCTTTATACATCGGTTAGACTGGGGAGAACTATAATAATAACATTATTACTAGGATAACACAAATTGTTCAGACAGTGCTAGATCTATGTCGCAACTCCACTGTGTTGTATTCGTGTCTACTTCGCCGTATTCTCGTAATACCTTCATACCATATGCCGTCGCACTGTGACGTCATGTTTACATTATGCCAACCAGCGTGCGTATGTCTGATAACAAATGTTGCTTAGTGATTAACACGAGCACAAGATCTATTGTTAATGTGATAATACTCATAGCGACGTACACAATGCGAGTAAAATATATATTGTTGAGGGGGGCAAGGGTTATTTTCGTTCAACGTAATTGCAATATTTTTTTGTTCGTACAACGTAAATAGAAAAAATAAATTCCGTAATTCTGTAATCACAGGCTAGACGTACAACGTAATCAATCAAATATTTGTTTTGTACACTGTAAAAATGTGTCATTTTTCTCGGTACGGACAAGAATTGACATCCAAATAAAAAAATCGTAAAAAATAATCCAGGAAAATTACATTTTAGAAACTGTAAAACGACGAGATGACACAATTCACTACAAAATTGAATGTCAAGACACACGGCGCAGTAATGGCGGAGAATTTGAGTTGGAGAGCTCTTCGGACCATTCAATGTTCCATTTTTTAACACTGTAAACTGTAAAAACGTCTTTTTTTCCTTGTAAATTGTAAAAAACCCTTTTTATTTCCCGTAAAACCGTACCAGCTACCCCCCTTGCTCCCCCCATTGTTTACATGAAATTCAACTTTACACTACTTACGCGCACGCCCGCAAAATGTAAACAAGTGCGACGGTCTATTATTAAATATGTAGTTCAGTATAAAGCGTGTTTATCTTTTCGCAATCATGATATCGAGAGGAACACAATTTGATATTTTGTCCTAGCTATGTAATTCATTGATACCAAGAACTATTCTTTTATAGGCATTACCAAATATGTTTACAAACAATAAACCAATAAAAATTCTAAAAAATTCCGTCGTTGCATAGTATAGTCGGAAATGAACGTTCTGTCACAAGAGGGCGCTTTTGTAACACCGTGACAGCAC